CCCCCCTCCCCTCCCCCCCCCCCCCTTCCCTCCCCTTCCCTTCCCTTCCCTTCCCTTCCCTTCCCTTCCCTTCCCTTCCTCCCCCACCACCATTTTATTGCTTTCTTTTTGTTGCTTTCTTGCTTTCTTTCCCTTTTTCTGTCTTTCTTATCTCTCCTCCTTCTCTCTCTTTCTTTCTTTCTTTCTTTCTTTCTTTCTTTCTTTCTTTCTTTCTTTCTTTCTTTCTTTCTTACAGTTTTTTTGTTGTTTTTTGGGTTTTTTTTTAGGAGAGATCTTTGGCTCTTCAAATTGCCTAGTGATAGTGGTAATAATTGGGAAATCTAAAAACTGGCAGGAGACTGAATCCCAGATACAGGGCCTGGCAAGATTGACTACCTAGCAGAGGTGACAGACATAATCTCATGGGGAAACTTGCCAGCCACAAAACAGCTGAAGAGCACTGCTGAACAAATAAACAACAGTGCTGGCATGAAATAAAGTAAAAATGAACAACAGTTAACATAAAATGGGGGAAAAAAAAATAAAAATAAAACCAACCTGAAAGAGGGAGAGATTTAATCCCTGACTGCTGTTACTCTTGTCATTACAACTCTTTACTCAGTTCTCTCACTGTGACATAATGCAGTAAAACAATTCTAATTATGTAACAAGTCTCTGCTCTAACATTTTGCAACCAAGAGGGATAGATAAAAACATAGTAATACAACAAAGTAGAAGCTGATATGTTGCAACACAGAACAAACAAATAGTGTCATAAGGATATTATACCTAGGAAGTCCCGTTTTTTAGCTATCTATCTTCCATAATTCTTTCCTTCCATGTTGTGCAAAGGATTTGGTTAATTTTATATCAATAATCTAATATACCATCAATGTGACAGTAATTGTAATGATCATACTTGGTCTGATTCAGACATTTTAGTTCATCTCGAGTGTAAGGAAATGCTCTGGAGTACATACTTGATTTAAATGAGAGTGCAAGAATCTGACTCAATATTAAATTGAATGTCAAGAATCTAATGTAAATCTAAATCCACCTGATCAACTGTCCCTTTCTCTCAAAAGAGTTGTAAGCAAAACACCCACAGGCATTTTGACCTTTTCCCTTATGCTATTTACTGTTTGCTAAGGAGCTCATTTCCCCTTCCTAAAACAAATTTGAAGGTAAAGGATATGTTAAGCCAAAGAGCTAAGGACATGAGCCTGTGTTTGCATGACAGTAAAGTACCAGGAGCTGACAATGATGACATGCAATCCCCTGACCCTCTGCATCATCTCTTTTTTTCCTGCCCCTGCAGCTCTGGGTGATATAGGGGCCCTTCTGCTGGAGACAGAAAGTTCTGTGCTCAGATTGTCAGTCCCCATGGGAGCAGCATCCAGCTGGTACAGCCGTGTAACAAACTTCCAACTTGCCTTCTTCTTAGCTGGAGTTCAGGAGGATGCTATTCCAAGAATAAATGAAAGTTTGCCTTACAGCAGAGAGGAAGAAAGAAAAGGGAGGGGAATACCTATCACCTCACTTAAGAGGGCACTGTGGAAACAGAGCCTGCCTGTGTAACTCTCTCCTTTGCATATGGCTTTGCTTCTCTCAACACCCCAGAGAAACTGGACAAAACGAAGCTCAAAATGGGGAAACAATGAAACCTCTTTACCTCTAATAAGAAATCAGTGAAACACTTCTACAAGCTGTAACTGAATATAAATAAAAAGTTTTCTTTCATCCTTCACCTAGGTATTCAATAGATCGAAACACAGACCTGGAGAGGTATTTCAATATTGATGCCAACAGTGGAGTCATTACAACTGCCAAATCTTTGGACAGGGAAACTAATGCTGTTCATAATATCACAGTTTTGGCTATGGAGAGTCGTAAGTAACAATTTAAAGATTTTATTGGCTGATTGTGTAAAACTTCAGGCTTGGTTGTGATCAACTGCACTGAGAGAAATTATGACGGTTTCAAACCATGGCAGATAAAAGTAACTTCTTACTGAATGTAAAAGGAACCTATGTGATAAAAAATAAGAAATATAACAGATTAAGTAGCTTTCCTTTGTGTCACACCTTGTGTAGTTTTTGACTTCTGAAAAACAAATACAAAGGATGGTGAAATCTGTTAAGTCAACAGTCTCAGACCAAGTATCATTAGAGGAAAAGTGATATGGAGTATAGAGGAGAGCAGTTAGCCCATCTTAGTGATGGGATTAACTTCGAGTTGATTTCTGTTGGTCAACCATAGCATTCTTAAAAGTTATGAAGGAAAGGGGATGTGAATGCTTGTATAGTTTCACTTTTGTGACTCTAAGGTAAGACTGTAGAGAATATTTTGTACTTGGTATCTTGGGAGGCGATTCTTCCCCTGTACTCCGCTCTTGTAAGGCCCAACCTGGAGTACTGTGTCCAGTTCTGGAGCCCTCAACACAAGAAAGGCATGGACCAGTTAGAACAAGTCCAGAAGAGGGCCATGAGGATGATCCAAGGGCTGGAGCACCTCTCCTATGAGGACAGGCTGAGAGAGTTAGGACTGTTCAGCCTGGAGAAGAGAAGGCTCTGGGGAGATCTTATAGCAGCCTTCCAGTACCTGAAGAGGGCCTACAAGAAAGCTGGGGAAGGACTTTTTATAAGGGCAGCTAATGACAAAACAAGGGGAAATGGCTTTAAACCGGAAGAGTGTAGATATTAGGAAGAAATTCTTTATTGTGAGGGTGGTCAGACACTGGAACAAGTTGCCCAAGGAAGTTGTGGCTGCCCCCTCCCTGGAAGTGTTTAAGGCCAGGTTGGATGAGGCTTTGAGCAACCTGATCTCGTGGAAGGTGTCCCTGCTGATGGTAGGGGGGTTGGAACTAGATGATCTTTAAGGTCCCTTCCAACCCCAACCATTCTATGATGCTATGATTCTATGATTCTATCTTTTCTCGTGTAAGATGGAAAGTGTTGAAGAATCATACCCTTTAAGTGCATACAACACAAATTCTGTTAATGCAAGTTTAAACAACTTGTTCAGCTCTGAATACAGTCTGTGAAAAACTACATATTTTTGATTTTGTATTTGAAGAACTTATTTCTTAAAATTTCATCCTTATTACTCCTCTGTTGGTCTGTGATAATAAAAGAGTTACCAGATCTCTGGCCTGTTATTTTAAAAATCCTCACTTCTTGATTTCAGTGAGGTTAATTTAATGTTTAACCTGAAAGTTAACATTTATCATTTAGTGTCTGTATGAATTTATCTTGTATTGTCAGGAGTAGAGTTTTGATCTAGGAGGTCAGCATGGAAACAAAATCTTTTTCTGTGCAGTAGCAAAACTGAGAAAGTCACCAAGGGGCATACCTGACACAAGTGAGAGTCTAGGAGCTCAAGTAATACGTAACAATGCTTTAATTTATGTTCATGGCCTGCTTGGTTTTCAGAAGAGGAAAAATTTGGTGTCAAAATTGCTTACTCCTCTAGTATTTCACATGTGGAATGAAGAACCAAACCAAACCAAAACACTGTGATTTACATTTGGATGCATTGCTTTAAATACTTTTAATATTTACTAAAATATGGTTGCAATACCTTTTAAAAAGATAGATACATATTTAAAGGTTTTTACAGTTTTTTATTCTGCCCTGCTCTATCACTAATATTACTATTTGTGATTTAAAAAAAAAAAAGAAAAGAAATCTTTCTTTCTCTCCTCCAGGACAGAAGTTTTATCTAGCAAAATAGGTATAGCACACAGTGATGTCCTTTATGTTTAGTCCAAAAATATCTACTGTTTAAGATTAAATTATGACATTAGACCCTGAACAGATTCATATTTTTAGCTAGAGATGTGCATCAGTTTAATAATGTGATTCACAATTAAAGTGTTCAACATCTTAATGACAGTGTTGAAATACTTATTTGTGTGTGCACTTTAAACACTTTGGGATTTGCTTGGGAATACAGCTTCATCTTTTTTCTGTTATATATAGGCGATGGAATTATAGTTTTAAACTTCTTAATAGCCTGATCAATCTGAATTGCAACAAAAATTTATTTAACCCATAATAATTGTGATATTCCTGATATGAATAGTGCTGCCCTGGCTAGTTATACTCCTTAGCAACAGTTTTATATCATCTTGATCTTATCCTTCCATATGATGTGATTCAATGCTGTGATTAGTGAGTTAGATTTTCAGTTTATCCCTGAGAGTAAATTCTTAGTTTAATTGAAGTGTCTGGAAAACTTAAACATTGTTTCCAGTAGGTCCAGAAGATCAAGACAAGAGCTTTCTTTTTCTTTCTTGGAAGGATTGTAATTGATTTGACATGTATATGCAAAAGAAGAATGCAAATGACAAACATACTGACCCAAAAAATAACTTACAAGGAGCTTTGCTTGATTGCTTTGTTGGCTTCTTTTCCTATAGAGAATCCAGCACAGATTGGGAGAGGCTATGTAGCCATCACTATCCTTGACATCAATGACAATGCCCCTGAGTTTGCCATGGAATATGAGACAACTGTCTGTGAAAATGCTCAGTCTGGTCAGGTATGTCTTAGTTTTTGCTGGGAAGCGGAAAGTCACAACATGGACATTATTCTGAGACTAAAGGCCTACTGTTCCTAAAATGAGTATACAATTTTATTTTCCTTAGGAGGTAAAGGACCATAAGGCCACAATTTCACAAGGGAGATGCATTCCTACCATATTTCTCAGTTTTTTTAACTCCCCAAATATCTTCCAAGTAGTCCTAGATTCAACTAAAAGTATCTAATGTTGTTTATCCTTGGTGTCTCTCATATTTGGACTTTTCTACTTTGTAAGACCTCAGAAAATACATATATTTTCTCATTCTTCCTTCCCTCTCTCCTTTCTCTCTGAAACCTAGTAGATGTTCCACCCACATAGATCCCACATATTCCCTGGGATACTTTGCACTTTTGTGCCTTCTCCAAGGATATTGTCCTTCCTGCAGCAGATGTTGTTTATTGCACATTTCAAAATCACAACATAATTTAAATCCTTAACAGAAAACACTATTATTATTAACTTGTGTTCGTGAGAAACACAGAATATGTATGCTTTTATTGCAGTACCTGCTTGTTTTCCCTGTGATCTAGTCAGAACTGTTAGCTCCGAGTATGCATTTTTTATGGATTTTAAACAGTGGTGACACTTTTTTTTAGAGATAGAGTTTTACAGAATTTTAGAATTCCCTTCTGAGGGGAACAGAGGGTTCAATATGCTGGACAGACCCTCCTCTTAGGGAAGTCTGCTGCCTCCCTGGGACCTGGGTTAAGGACATTGCCAGGAAACTTCCTAGCCTGGTACAACCCTCAGACTATTACCCATTACTGCTCTTCCATGTGTGTGGTGATGAAGCCTCAAGACATAGTCCAAGGGTGATCAAAAGAGACTTTAAGGCCTTGGGACTGTTAATGAAGGAATCTGGAACAGGTCACTTTTCCCTCTATTCTTCAAGTTGCAGGCAGTGACATTGGAAGGAACAGGCACACCACAATTTGAGATTTTTGATAGTGTGATGGCCAACACAGCACCAGGCTTGCTGGAGTCAGATTCACCTTTCTCAAAGGGGGAAGAGTGTCTTTGGTCAGGAGCTTGCAGGTCTCATTGACAGAGCTTTAAACTAGACTTGAAGGTGGAGAGGATAATATCAGGCTTGCCTGTGACAAACTATGGGATGACATTCTAAGGTTAGAGGGATGGTGTGCTGGCGAGGGCCCTCAGCCTGTAGCTCTGAGATGTGCTGAGTACACTGCAGCACACTTGACGTCTTATGGACATGAGCCAGGGGCTCCTGAGGTAATAGGATCCAACAGGGAAACACCAGTGAAATACCTCAAAGGAATTAAGGAATGTTCCTCTAAGAAGGTGACACGACCAACAGCCCAGTTGAAGTACCTCTACACCAATGCACGCAGCATGGACAACAAGCAGGAGGAGCTGGAAGCCACCATACTAATAGAAAGCTACAACCTGGTTGCCATTACTGAAACTTAATGGGACGAATCCTGTGACTGGAGTGTGGCTATTAATGGCTACAGGATGTTCAGAAGGGACAGGCGAGGAAGGAGGGTCAAAGGAGCTGCCATCAAGAAATGAATAGATTGTGAAGAATAGCCACAAGCAGGTTGGAAGGTTATGGGTAAGAATTAGAGATGGAGGTAACAGAGGGAAACTTGCGGTTGGTGTCTGATACAGGGTGCCCTATCAAGGGGAGTCTATTGACAAAGCCTTCTTACTCCAGCTACAGGAGGCATCACGCTTGCAGGCTCTTGTCCTGCTGGGCGACTTCAACCACCCATATATCTGCTGGAAAAGTAGCACAGTGAGTTACAGGCAATCCAGGAGTCTTACAGAGTACATGGAAGATAACTTCTTAAGATAGGTGATAACAGCCCTACCGGAGAAGTTGGGGTACTGGACCTGATGGTCACAAGTGAGCTGATTGGTAACATCAAGATTGGAGGTAGCCTGGGCTGAAGTGGTCATACATTGGTGGAGTTCACAGTCTTGAAGGATATGGGTCAAGGGAAGAGTAAAGTCAAGACCCTGAATTTTAGTAAAGTAAACTTACAGCTCTTCAAGGAGTTGGTCAGTTGGACTCCCTGGAAAACTGCCCTCAGGAACAAGGGAGCAGAACAGAGCTGACAGATCTTTAAGGACATTTTCCAAAGAGTGCAAGAGCTCTCAATCCACAGGTGTAAGAAATCAAGCAAGGAAGGCAAGAGACTTACATGGGTGAGTCGAGACCTGCTGGTCAAAGCAAAGGGCAAGAAGGAAATACACGGACAGTGGAAGCAAGGACAAGTATCCTGGGAAGAGTAGAGGGATGCTGCCCAGTTGTGTAGGGATGGGGTCAGGAAGGCCAAGAAGTGGATGAAGCTGAATTTGGCAAGGGACACAAAGAGTAATAAGAAGAGCTTCTTCAGATATGTCAACCAGAAAAGACGGGTCAAAGAAAGCATATCCACCCTGATGAGCAAGATTGGCAAACTGGTAACAACGGATGAGAAGGCGGCTGAAGTATCAATTACTTTTTTGCCTCAGTCTTCTCTAGCAAACTCTCTGCCCACACCTCTTGAGTGGATGGACCACAGGGCAGGGACTAGGGGAGCAAAGTCCCTCCCACTGTAAGAGAAGATCAGGTTCGTGACTACCTGAGGAACTTGAATATATATAAGTCTATCGGACCTGAAGAGATGCATTCCAGAGTCCTGAGGGAAGTTGCTGTTACAGTTGCCAAGCCACTCTCCATGATATTTGAAAAGTCATGGCAGTCCCTGTTGGCTAGAAAAAGGGAAACGTTGCACCGATTTTTAAAAGGGTAGAAAGGAGGATCCTGGGAACTACTGATCTTTCAGCCTTACCTCTGTGCCTGGGAAAATCATGGAACAGATCCTCCTAGAAGCTATGCTAAGGCACATGGAGGACAGGGAGATGACTTGAGACAGCCAGCATGGCTTTACTAGAGACAGGTCCTGCCTCACCAACCTAGTGGCCTTCTATAATGGAGTAACTACATCAGTAGACAAGGGAAGAACTATGGAAGTCATCTATCTGGACTTCTGTAAGGCCTTTGACACAGTCCCCCACAATATCTTTCTCTCTAAATTGGACAGATATGAATTTGGTGGGTGGACTGTTCGGTGGATGGGTACGTTGGTGGTTCGGTGGTTGGATGATTGCATCCAGAAGTAGTGGTCAACGGCCCAACATCCAGATCGAGATCAGTGACAAGCGGTTCATGTTGGGACCTGTAGTGTTTAATATCTTCATTAATGACATAGACAGTGGGATTGAGTACACTCTCAGCAAATTTGCAGATGACACCAAGCTGAGTGGTGCAGTTGACCCACCTGAGGGACAGGATGCCATCAGGAGTGACCTGGACAACCTTGAGAGTTGGGCCCGCGTGAACCTCATGAGGTTCAATAGGAACAAGTGCAGGGTCCTGCACCTGGGTTGAAGCAATCCCTGATATCAATACAGACTGGGGGATCAAGGAATTGAGAGCAGCGCTGTGGAGAAGGACTTGAGGGTACTGGTGGATGAAAAGCTGGACATTTGGCCCCTCATTTCAAGAAGGACAGGGAACTGCTTGAGAGAGTCCAGCGCAGAGCCACCAAGATGATTAAGGGAGTGGAGCATCTCCCTTATGAGGAAAGGCTGAGGGAGCTGGGTCTCTTTAGCTTGGAGAAGAGGAGACTGAGGGGTGACCTCATTAATGTTTATAAATATATAAACGGTGAGTGTCAAGAGGATGGAGCCAGACTCTTCGCGGTGACAACCAATGATAAGACAAGGGACAATGGATGCAAGCTGGAACACAGGAGGTTCCACTTAAACTTGAGAAGAAACTTCTTTACAGTAAGGGTAACAGAGCACTGGAACAGGTTGCCCAGAGAGGTGGTAGAAACCCCATCCCTGGAAACGTTCAAGGTCAGGTTTAATGGAGCTCTGAGCAACCTGATCTAGTTGAAGATGTCCCTGCTCACTGCAGGGGGGTTGGACTAGATGATCTTTAAAGGTCCCTTCCAACCCAAACCATTTTATGATTCTATGATAAAATAAAATTGGAAAAAATCATTATAATAAAAAAAGAAAACCCAGAAAATATTAATATACTTATGAATTGACTTTTTATTTTTAATTATATTTTTTCTAAGTAAATTACTTAAAATGCTCAAAAGCATAATTGTCTTCTTGCAAAAGTTTACAAAGTTTATTGCAGCCACTGATAACTGCCTTAAGGGACATCCAGAAGGTACACTTCTTCCACTCCTGTGCAGTTTATACTCCCAGCTCTGGTGAATGACAGGACCTAACTTTCTCACAGAACCTGCAGATCATTGCTTTTGGTCAATAAAATTGCTACAGGGAAAGTAAAGAATTGAGTCACATTTCAGTTTTAATAGATACTGTACGTGCTTAGGAGATTAGGAAACTAAAATGCAAGATGAGCAGGACTCGAAGGAGAGTTGATACTTCAATAGGTAATAGAGGGGTTATACAATGTACATGTATTTATGCTGCTTACCATTCCAAACAATGAAACCCCATTGTATCTCAAAACAGGTGATACAGAAAATCAGTGCAATTGATAAAGATGACCCACCGAATGGCCATCAGTTCTACTTCAGTTTAGCAGCAGAGGCAGCAAATAACCACAACTTTACACTGCAAGACAATAAAGGTAAGGAAACTTTGGGTATGTATTCAACACCTTTCATTTTGAACAGATCGTGCTGATTCTGACCTACATAAACTTAAATTTGGTAAGGACATAAATTAACTACAATCAGCCTGCAAAATAATTTTATCTTTAGATTTTTTGTCAAGGGAATTAAGCTGTTGTCTGAATCATTTAAAGCCTTGAGCCAAACAGTGCATCTTCAAATCTTTCTTGTTTTTTTTCTTGTTTTTTCTTTTTTTCCCCAGAAGTCACTCTTCTCACATTTTTACCTTATATTTGTAGGTTTTTATCTAAATTAGATTTTACATTGGGACAGTGACTGAAAAATGTCCACGAATTCATGTTTTATTAATATAACTCAGGGCATAAAAAATGAGTGCCCTGGTTTATTTTTTTTTATTTTTTTTTTTTAGAAAAACACATGTTTTCAGTAAGCATAGCATCTATTGAAGAATGCTTTTGATAATGGAAGCTGCCTACAATATCTACACAGACTTCTTATGACTATTTCCCCAGACTTCTGCAAAGACTTCAATTGACATCACATTTCTATTAGTTAAAATATCTGGGAACATGCTTCTCCTTAGTGTTCTCTTTAGTTGTACTGCATAGTATGGCAGCTGGGCATGTATCAGTCTGTTTAACTATTAGTGAAGCAAATAGAACTAAATAGACACTATATTACTCTTGCATTGCTCTTTTATGGATCAGTACTAAACAAGAGCTGCGAAGTCATTAATAAAACAAGCAAAACAGACCTATGGTGGACTAAATTATACTGTTTGTACAGACAGACTTTGAACAACATTCACTAAGGATAACGTGACCTAATAAAGTTCTTTAGCACAGCTATTTATTGCCTTACCTTGCATATAGTTACTGACACGCTTAATTTTCTTCATACAAGCAGCTTGCAGTTCAAAACTAAAGATTGTAATAGTAATAATGATCAAAATAAGAAAAATGCATCAGAATAAGACTCTGTTCAGATATCTGACATTGTTACAAGTACTGTAAAGTATTTAACAAAAAGACAAGAAAAGACAGGACCTCTTTCAGACAACTTAGAATTTGGAAAAAATAATAATAGACTTTTGCAATGCCAGTAAAATTAATGGAGTTACAAGACCCAGCAGCAGTTGCCTCTTTCAAAGGTAATTTGTTTTATGCATATCTGATATTTTGCTATATGAAGAAGTGCTTGCGTCCCATATTTTCCCAGGTAGGTCATAATAGATGACAAAATAAGACAACTTTACAAGACTATCGATATATCTGTTGATAAATAGATAATTAGATAGATAGACAGACTGACTGGACCGCCTTTTGCTATACATTCTATGAGATGTAACCCACTGCCTCTCAGAGCAGTCATCCTGTACTGACACAGTGAGTTTTGCACATATTTTCTGGAACACATGGACATTTTAGTCACTCAACTCCAAGCAGCATCAAAACACACATTTTAGATTGATTATATTAGTCATCTTGACTCTCAGATGAGACTGAAAACAAGGGCATGTCTTTGTTACATGTGCAATTACCTGTATTTGTGCACCATTTGGACTTTTTTTGCATTCAAAAAATATTTCATTGGTCTTCAAAACTTATTCTTCTACTAATATGTTCATGTCTTCCGTTAGTGTTATAACTATATCTGTAAATAACTGAAATAGATACTTGGAAATTAGACCTGAAATAGGTATATAGATATTTAATTTGGTCACTGAAGGGTGAATTTTTTCTTTTTTATAGTAATCTCCAGCTGTCTATCAGGAGTGTGGAACTGTAAGATTCTGTAACTATAACTGTAAACCAAATAGACATCTGCAATTTTGAAACAGTCCTTCGTGGAAAATAGATTTTTTTTTTTTTGGGGGGGGTATCATTTCTCATTAAACCAAATAGACATCTGCAATTTTGAAACAGTCCTTCGTGGAAAATAGATTTTTTTTTTTTTGGGGTATCATTTCTCAGCTGATCCTATCTCTTCAGCTTCAAAAATATATGAACAGGAAAGACCAACTTGTTGAAATTCTATAAATGTGTTTATGAAGCCTTTTAAGTTAAATACTGTATCATTTATAAGCCTATGTTTTGTAAAGATCATGTATTTTATATTTTTCTTTTTATTCCTTTAACTAGATAACACTGCAACAGTATTAACCAGAAGAAATGGGTTCCGAAGACAGGAACAGTCTGTTTTCTATTTGCCAATATTCATTGTGGACAGTGGATCACCTTCACTTAGTAGCACTAATACGCTCACCATCAGAGTCTGTGATTGTGATGCAGATGGTATTGCTCAGACATGCAATGCAGAAGCATATATCTTGCCTGCAGGACTTAGCACTGGAGCCCTTATAGCAATATTGGCTTGTGTCTTGACGCTGCTAGGTACGTCTTCTGCCTGTTACCCTTATTTTCCATTCAATGTATTTTAGCATATTATCTATCTATCTATCTACATGTAAACATCAACACCTCCTCCCCCACCCTGATTTCTGTAAACAGGGAAACTGTACATTCCAGGTAGAGAACAGTATTTTGCATCATGGATCACACAAAACCTTTAGTTTGGGGTTTTCAAGTTCAGGTTCTTTGTTTCTATCTCAAACTGCCTCCAAACGTATATATGAAATAACAGTAAAAGAAAAAGAAATCACATCAAATGTGGTATTTAAGAAATAGACAATGAAGTTTATGGAAGTATTTGGTTTAGCATACTCACCATACTCACCATATAACCGGTACCAGTCTGCATCCCTTTTTCAGAGATATTTTTAAACATTTATTGACTTGCATAGAACAAAAAACATTCAGAAAATAAAACAGGTGTAATTTACTGATGGCAGTCATCATATTTAATTGAACATCTTACACAAAATGGTCTTTTGTTACTTCTGCAACTGGTAGCACAATTGGATTTTATGTTGTGCAGTGAAACGGCAACTGGATAAAAAATTGTGGAAAACAGTGAAACAGTGTCAACATCCTAGTTTGGTTAGCATTTCTCATTTCATGCCTACTTCTTAAACAAAAGTACTACATGGTAATAGTAAAGGCCCAAATTGAGGAGTAAAGATGAAGAATCATCTTGCATCTGCAGGATGCATCTCCAGGATGAGCAAAAGTGCAGTTTTTATTATTGTCAGAATTGTCACATTAACAAGGGTACTGATTCAACACACAAGAATTCTCTTGAGTGTTGTTGCCAATGGAGAGATTTTTCTATTCCCCATCTGTAGATGCCAGTTTAAGGGAAGGGGGAAGACCATAATCTTCTCAGATTGATATAATCCCAGTGGTGATTTATCTGTCACTGTTATCGAAGAAATTTGAATAGGTAGAATCAAGAGACTTTTGTCCACATTTCTGTTCATGGCAGTACTTCAACAATGTATAGATTTCTCTTCTTATTGACTTTGATTCATCTTACTGAATACCATTAGATGGAATTGTCCCTTCTGCTACAAACTTTTCTAAAGGACTCAGAAAAAGGAAATCCTCTTATGTTGTTGTTACAGAGTAAGACCAAAAAATCACTAACTCTGCAATGCTCCCAACAGACTTACTCAATTGCTATGTATAGGAGGTGGCATTTCCAGAATTTTCCAGCTTTGTGACAAAAAAAACAAACAACATAAGGTTGTTTAAACTCATTCAACACATGATTAGGCCCAGTTTTAAGAAGAAATGGAAGGGAATGTTTGTCAAAAGTTTTAATGAACATTTTTTATATATAATTATTCTTGTAGCATTTCTAGTCCATTTATACACCCTAATGAACTTTATTTGGACATGAAGCTAAATGTCAGAGTTCAAAAAGAAGTACAAAAGATTCTCTTCTATCAACTGGCAATAGTATCAGCAGAAAAACAGCAATTTAAAACTTCATTCCAATGTACATCAAAAGAAAGGTTCTGTAACAATAGCAATTGGCTTTGTCCCAAATTGAAATGTCACCATTTCTGTTATATATAAAAAGGGATTTTCTGAAGATTACTTAAGAAACTACTGTAGATACAATGCAGCCTGGTCTGTGCATAAGCTTTTCTTAAATGGGAGCCATGCATCTTAAAGAAGAGCACTGAGTGGAGACACATCATGTTACCAAGTAATAACTTGCTTATTCTACTCACTACACCAGGGTTGAAATACAACCAATAAATCAAGAAATCTGAGGTTTTATTCCGGTCATTTTTAGAATGTGCAGAAAGAATTGAGGATAAGCTCAAGAATTGAGGATAACACTAAACATAGTGTTTGAATAATGGGCTGTGCACTGAAGAGGAATCTGGCATATGACCACCTTACCATTGATTTTATTTGTCAAATAATTGGACTTTCAAATACAGCTTTGAATGTATCACCACTGTTTATCCAAATAGACATTTGTATGAGCTGTCATCACTTCCAATCTAAACTCTTCTTTTTGGGTACAGTTCAAAGCTGCAGGCACAGTTTGTATGCTAATCTTGGCTTTGAGTCCTGCATTTTTGGTACTGTATCCTGCTGCTGTTTTGTTCCCAGTTAGGTGCCAGTCTTCAAAAGGAAGAGATGCTTAAGCATCACTGCTGCCCAGTGAAACCCTAGTCAAGTGTTGTTGCTTGTCTGGTCCCAGAGCCTTTCTTCTTCTCTCATTTGTTCCTAGAAAACATTTTCTGGGGTCAGCTGAATGGTAGTACTGCTAGGAATTTACTTTCTTCTTTTTCCCTTTTTCTTTTCACACTGATTCCTGAGAAAAAATCCTGAAGATCCAATAGCACAGCATAAAAATAAGCTTCAGCTGTTGGCAAATGGTTCTGGTGCTGAAACCATGGGATGCACCCTTTTGTGTAAGAGTTTAGAAGTGAAAAGAGGAGATAGGCTACTGGATCAATTTTTTTTCTGACCCAAGATTAACATGCAGTGCAAATCCAGTCACATTCATCAATGTCATCTCAATGTGAGTGCCAGTTGTAAAGCAGAGGAGACATAAGATTTGCATAAATGTCATGGATACATGCATTCTGGCACTAGTATGTTGAATTTTCAACAAGCTCTTGTCTTCTTAAAATTGGTATGATGTACTTTGATGTTTTTACAGATATTGGCTCAGATTTTCTCAGTGAAATTTCTTAGTGTTAACATTTTTACTTAAGCAACGAATTTTACATAAACACTATGTTTTTACTGATTCTAAGAAGGAAGAACGTTATTAAATCATACTAATGTATTACAACTGCATAAAAATTGTGTAGTCTTTTCAAAATAATATGACTTTCAAAAGTTAAAAACATCTTACCAAAATTTTTCCCCTCCTCATATTGACCAATGGAGATGAAATTCTAAATTTTATTCCACAAGAAAATTACAGTACTTTGTTGATTATTCAAAACAGCTTTATAGTTATTCACTCTGAAGTGTGGCTATACTTTAAAGAAAAAAAAATAAACAAAAAGCCTTACAATTTATTCTATAAAAAGCATATGAAAAGCTAGTTTGTATTCATTGTAGACTGTACATAATTTTTAGACAAGTAAGTAGGATTTTTTTAACTTCTCTGAAGTGGGAGACTTCAACTTAACAGACATCTGCTGGAAATACAACACAGCAGAGGGAAAACAGTCTAGGAGGTTCCTGGAGTGTGTGTAAGATGCCTTCCTGACAAAGCTGGTAAGTGAGCCCACCAGGGGAGGAGCCTCACTTGACCTGCTGTTTAACAACAGAAAAAGACTGGTGGGAGATGTGGTAGTCAGAGGCTGTCTTGGGCTAAACAACCATGAAATGGTAAAATTCTTGATTGTTGGTGAAGTAAGGAGGGGGATTAACAAGACCACTACCATGGACTTCCAAGGGCAAACTTTGGCCTGTTCAGGACAGGAAAGGCTGAGGTACTTAATGCCTTCTTTACCTCAGTCTTTAATAGCCAGACTAGTTATCCTCAGGATATTCAGCCCCCTGAGCTGGAAGACAGGGATAGAGAACAGAATAAACCCCCCATAATTCAGGAGGAAGCTGTTTATGACCTGCTACACCACCTGAACACTAACAAGTCAGTGGGGTCAGATGGGATCCATCTAAGAGTAGAGGGAGCTGGTGGAGGAGCTTGCCAAGCCACTCTCCATCATTTATCAACAATCCTGGCTAACAGGGGAAGACTGGAGGCTTGTCAGTGTGACACCTATCTACAAGAAGGGCCAGAAGGAGGATGGAACTACAGAC